ACATTGTTTTGGGACTTGTTAATAAGGGCCATTCTTACATCCAAAGTAACATTTGCTTCTGTGGACTCATTCATTCATATATTATTTCTGTTTACAGAAAACAAGAGACTACTATTATGGCGGGGAAGCCCAAGCTTCACTACTACAATGGACGGGGCAGAATGGAGGCCATCCAGGTGGCTCTGGCTGCAGCTGGAGTAGAGGTAGGTTGGGACTTTGCTCTACTTAAGTTATAATCTAAAATGGACTATCAAAATCCTTTTCTAAGCCAGGAGATTCCATGTAAGATGATGTATGAATAAATAGTTTTGCCTTCAATGAAAGTATCCCCAGTTATTAAGAAAAAAAAGGTTCTGATTTGACCAAATGGAATTAAAAGAAAGCTGTCCATCCAAAATCACATAAACATATAGTACAAAGGTATAGTAATTAAAGTAGCATGGTACTGGCACAAGAACAGGGACATTGTCCAGTGGAACAGAACAGAGAACCCATATATAAAACCATCCTCATAGCCATCTAATTTTTGACAAAGTAGACAGAAACATACACTGGGGAAAAGAATCCTTATTCAATAAATGGTTCTGGAAAACTGGATAGCCACATGTAGCAAGACTGAAACAGGATCCACACCTTTCACCTCTCACAAAATCAACTCACACTGGGTAACAGACTTGAGCTTTAGGTGTGAAACTATTCGAATTCTAGAGGAAAACATTGGAAATACTCTTCTAGACATTGGCCTAGGCAAAGAATTTATGAAGAAGACCCAAAGGCAATCACAGCAATCACAAAATAAATGGGATCTGATCAAATTAAAAACTCTGCTCAGCCAGAGAAACTGTCAAGAGAGCAAACAGACAACCCACAGAATGGGAGAAAATTTTCGCAAGCTACACAATCTGATAAAGGGCTGATAACTAGATCTATTTAGTACTCAGGAAAATCAGCAAGGAAATACAACAACCCGTCAAAAAGTGGCAAAGGACATGAACAGAGAACTTTCCAAAGAAGACAGAATAATGGCAACAAACATATGAAAATATGCTCAACATCTCTAATCATCACGGGAAATGCAAATCAAAACTGCAATGAGGTATCACTTTATCTCCAGTAAC